GATTGTGTTTATCTGCAGTTAGTTACACCGAATTCAGTTATGGGATGAAATCGGATAGGGATGAAATCGTTTAGGGATGGGCGGATTTAAGAGTTTAAGAGTTTTTAAAAGTTTTAGCCAAATGCATTATAATATAGTATAGATATATATACATACACTATCTAATTTTAAATGTATCTTAAATAATCAACCTCCTACTAGAGCAGCCTATTTTTAATATTATTTTTTTCTTAAATACATCAAAATTGAAGGAACAAATAGATGAAGTTAACTGTAACGAACTTTCGTCGGAATAGATGTTATTATTATTTTTTAAATAAAGAAATTATTGTTTATTTTATTTAGTAAAAATGATGGAAAAGGTTGGCAGAAGAATTATGCTGAATATTCGGTGTATATAAATATTATATATACTTAAAATAAAACTATATCGATGAATATGATAATAGTAGTTCAAAGGTCGATACGAATTCTGCTGAGAATGAAAATCACAATGAAAAAGGTAAGAAATGATATGCATCAGATCAAATCCCGTGAAAAACTCAATTTATAGGGTGGAGGTGAGATTGAAATGATCAAAGATCCATATCCCTTTCTTAAACTTCTTACTATAACTCTTATTCTCACACGATCTTTTATCATTGATGCTTATATGTGTGTGTATATATATATATATATATATATATATCGAATCAAATTGAGAACCATAAGAAGGTTATAGTGAGAACTGATTTAAAAATAATTTTCACATGAAATTTTTCATTAAATTATGGAATTTAAAATATTATTTCACAGTTTTTTGTTGTAAAGATTTAGATTTTTTTTCCCTTCACAATGTTTTGCTGTCAAGTTTTAAATGTAAAATGTGATCTAACAGGTCTCTTGAAAACAAGTCGACATGAGGTCTATGTATATAAAACAATAATTGAATGCAACCATTATAAAGGTTAGTRGGTTACAGCCAATGCAGCCATCAAAGTCGTTTATCTTTCACATATTAGAGAGAGATTTTATATGTATATTTTTTAATTTTTAATCAAAAGGGCAATATTGTCTTGGTATTTATTTTTTTTAATTAGAAAATAAATTCTTAATATATCTCTACAATTTAGGAAATAGTTTTCGCATTGATATCAATTAATGTTTTTTACATTTTTGTAAATGATTTTCATTTAAGATATATCCAAACTGTTTTTATTATTTATATGATTTATTTTTCTTGAGTTGTTTTTATTATTAGTATTATTTTTTTAGTTTCTATCTCAAAAACGTAATATTTTAAATGATTTATTGGTTTTTTTAATTTTCTTTTTTAAAGAATTTTAATTTCATTGGAACGTCTAGAACGCCTCCTTTATTTGATTATATTCCTAACGTGTCCTTTGAATTTCATATTAATTTTAAAAATGCTACCAATACATCTCGAAGTCATTGATAAAATGAATGTGTGGTTTAAATGAGGTTGCATCGGTTGTAGGGACGGACCCAATAATTTTTGGATACAGTGGCAACATATAAAACGGTTGCACCTTATAAAATAAAACGGTTGCACATTTCACGAACCTAACTTTTTTTACCTTACCACGGAGGAACAATACGGTGGCACGTGCCACCTAACCACCCCTYTAGGTCCATCTATGATTGGTTGCAACAATGTGGAGGGTTGCATTTGACGATCCCTCTCTCTATATGTATATTA